TAACTTTCTGCCTTTTGGGTTTGAAAAAAATTGGGATAAGTAGACTGTAGTCCACCCCAAAATTGGTACAAGTCCCCGGGAGAGAGASGGAATCTTTGAATCCATGGCTGCAGGTACTGCATCAATATATATTGACACTTTCTCAGTATTCGAATATTCCTGAATCCTGATGTCATCAAATTTGGTATCCTCTTCCGCCCACCACCAACCACCCTCATTGGGGAGTTGAAACATTTTCTCACTTGAGATAACTAAGAGGCTGGGTTCTCGTTCTCGAGGTAAAAGCCACATCTGGTGTGCTTGATGATGCTTGATTATAGAAGCAAACTTTGTTTAGGACTTCACATGGACTCACTCAAGATGCAGCAGCAAWACAAAATTTTGTATAAATGTCTTAAACATGTTTTTTTTAATGCTTTACATGTCTTCATCAATCCAAAATAACAGAGATGGAAGAGTTAATCAGGTTGCTGTATGTGAGTATATATGCTTAATATAACTATAAATTGATCAATTAATTGATATCTTATTGTAGACTTGTAGTCCTTCCTTTGATATGGGTAAATGAAGGGTTATCTTGAAAAACACATTCAATTTACCCTTTGTGTTTTGTTAAGGAATAAATTTGTGTCAATACATGAAAAGGGTCTGATTATCATTTGAAAGAATTGACTCTTTGTTCTTTAAACAATTCAGGGCTCATGCAGATAATATCTTATACCTGTGTTAATTAATTCTCATTCATTTATTTCAGTGGAGGGGATATAGTGATATACTCTTGAACTTTTTGTTGAAAGCCTCTTAAACTTCTTTTCTTAATTCTGGTTTTGAGAAGAAATCACAACTTCATATATAATATATAATTGTCATTGTCATCCCTCTTTGGTTATCACTGGACTCCAAAACCCAATGTAATGGTATATGAGTCAAATCTCCATTATTATTATTTGGCTCCATAATCAAATCTCCATATTGCAAACCCTTTGCTACATAAACTCTTGATCCCTTCCCTAAGGCTACGTTTGGTTTGATAGAAAATAAGAGAGAGCAGAATGGAAAGTCAACAAAATTTGTGAAATTACCTTGGAACTTTACTTGTGTTCCTCTCTTAATAGCCTAATTAACCCTAATTAACCCTGTTCATTGATACCCAAATAGGGTAGATTTTCGGTATACAGCATGCACACCACAGCTGCACCTGCACAAGCCTCTCTCTCTCTCTCTCTGAAAGGCTTCAATCGAGCAAAAGTAATTGAAAAGGTTCTGGACTGAAACTTCAGAGAAAGATGCAAAGAGGTAGGTGTTGACTGGTGAACCGCCAGCACATAAAGCACAATACGACAACAAGAAAACAGATCTTAAACCAAACCATGCTTTCGTTTGGGCTTGTTTAGTTAATCAACAATCTTAAAAAGTTAAGTTAAACCCTTGTATTAATTTAAGCAAATCATTCTTCCTTATTTCCCGTCGTTTTGTGCTTCATGCTTCAACCCTCCTGGAGAAAATATCACTCTGTATTCTGCACTTGGGCTTGGAGAAGGTGTCAAGGATTGTTTTGAATTCATTTATTTTATTATATTTCTCTCTGCACTCGGGTTTCTTCTGATGCATTCTAGATTTATAGTCCACTGGTAGCAGTTGTATCGAACAATGAACAAAACTATTCTGATCGATATTGGCGCCTAAACCTATCTATCTCCCACCTCTTTCTGGTTCTAGATTTTCTCTGTACAAGGTAGAGGAGGAGGGATGAAAAGAAAAAAAAACAAAGATTACTATAACGAATTCTGTAAATCTAAGACGCAGAAGTCAAAGGTGCAGGAGCTCCTCCAATGAAGTTTGGTGGTGGCGGTTGCGGTGGTACTGTACAGTTCATTACTCCATGTTCCTCCTGTTCTTCCTCCTCCTCCTCTTCGTCGGCGTCCCACAGAAACCGAGCATATGAAGCTAGAACATAACTGCATAACATAGTGAGCTTAAGATTAAGAACAAGAGAAATCTGAATAACTATGAATAAATTTTCAATTTTGAGGAAAACCGAAAATTCGGTTTCATAGGAAAGAAAAGAAACCCGCTTGAGCCAATCTCAAAAGATTTTTATTTTTATTCCGGAGAAATTCAAATAGGTGAGACTGAAATTCTTACCAGTCGTCAGGGGATGCTTTAACAGCTTGATCAAAGTATCTCTTAGCACGACCAGAGTCTCTTTGAGTTTCCCATATCAGTTCTGCATAGAGTGACAGAACATTTTGGTCTGATGGGTTTGCCAGGATTGCTCTCCCACAGTACTCTTCGGCTTTAGCTAGATCACCCCGAACCTGTTTCCAATTAATCAAACAAAAGTCCGTCAGGATTGATTCCTTTCTTTTCTTTCTCTAGAAAGAAAAAACAAGAATTGGATGGGTTCATTACCTCTTTTAAGAACCTCGCGTAATTCCCCAGAAGAAGTGCATTTCCAGGGTTCGCCTCGATCATCTTCTGATAGTAAACATCCGTGCGATCGTTCCCATGATTCGAATCCGAAAACCCAGAACCCCCTTCACCGTCTCCACCATTTGATCCTCCTCCTCCTCCTCCACCACCACCACATATCCGGCCATCATCACTCCCAACTCCACCGCCCACAGGAAGAGTTGCCAACCCATTATCCTTCACCCCAACAACACACCCCTCGTCCATGGCTTCCACCGCTTCCCCCAAACCAGAGCTCGAAAGCAACCGCTCCAAAGACGAAGCCCTTGACTTGATTCCCGCTTGTTCTTCCTCTTCTTCCACCGAAAACGAAGACAGCCCAGTAAGGCTCCTCCCTAATGTCTTCTTTTTCAATACCGCAAGCTCCCGGAGATCAGTCTCCGACAGAGCTCTGCTCATCTTCTTCATGGAATCGTCGCCAGGAGACACCGAAGCCGACGAGGCCGTCAATGTGATCGGTCGAGTTTTCGGTATATGAAGAAACAGGTCAGATTCCGGCGACGACTCCTTCGATTGCGGAATCCATGAATTCAAGATCGGTGTTGAGGCGCTTCGAAGAAGCATCTTTTTTGTTCTTCCCCAAAATAAAACGAGAAACAAAAAAAAAAAAAAGGAAACTTTGACGTGAGAGAGAGAGCTTAGAATGAGTGGGCGAAGAGGCAAGAAGATCTCCACGATTAACAGAGAGAGCTCGCCAGTCGCTTTATATAGAGAGAGACCGAGTGGGTGAGTGCAGAGAGAGAGAGAGTGAGAGAGGATTTATAAACAGGACAGAATCTAGACCGTTGATTCGAGTAAGGAAGTGGGCGGAGGAGATATCGGAGCTACGCACGTGCCCTATAATTCAGAAACGGCGTCTATACAAGAGGACGACGTCCTCTGAGGTGATTTCCACGTTGAGCAGTGAATCACGTGACGTTGGATCCTTTGAACCGTCTGATTTGTCTGGTAGCGCAGTTTCGACGGTGTGTATTAGCTCCGACCACGTGAAGATAAAATAGTTGCATCTGCTTGAACATGTGGCGGTTTTGAAAGAGAAAGGAGTGCGAGAATTTTTCGCAGTTTTGGCAATAGGGCTAAGTTTGGAAAGTTTTTGCACTCAACATATTTGTATTTGTATTTGTATTTGTGTTCTTTCAAAATATGGGTGTCAATGGTATTCCGAAATTTGATTTAAAAAACTTTGAATATTGGTGAAATTCGGATATCCTATTTATATCGATTAATTAATTATATTTGAATTTCAATATAATTTGATTTGATAAATATCTAAATTTGATCAATTATTTAATTCTTATATATAAGTATTTAAATATTTTATATAATTTATATATAATAATTAAATTATATAAATAATTTATATATTTATATACTTTATATAAATAAAATATTTATTTTATATATTTATTAATTATCTAAATGATTAATTAGTCGAATTCGAATCAAATCGAATATTTGAATATTTAATCGAATTCAAATTCAAATATTAGTTTTCAACGTCTATCGAATCTCAAATCAAATTCAGATATCAAGTTTTATAATTGGATTCAAATTTAGATATTGCCTTATTTAATTCAAATTCGATCCATTTACACCCCTATTTCACACAGAGTCTAGATTTCAAAATTGCCTCTATTTTTGTGAACCAAATTCGAATCATGGTATGTTTGAACCCAAACTGGTAATACAAATAGTATATCTGATCACAACATCAATCAAATCAAAATATGATCTGATTCAATTTAATTTCTGAAAATTTTAATAAATTATTAAAAAGAAAAAATATATAACAGTTTAATTTACATAAAAAAATACAAATATTTTTTCAACTATTTTCTATAATCTTTCGGAAAGATAGGGGTAATCCGAATTCAGCCAGACTTTTAATTAGATCCTATTATTCTATCCGATCTGATTTGAAATCGGTTAAGGAATTATCCAAATCCGACAGATTAATTAAACCATATTTTTTAATCGGATCTGCACCCCCTAAATGGTATTTGTTTATTTGAATATTCAAATTCAATCATATTAAATATATATATATATATATATATATATATATATAAAATGGGGGGGTTTGACATTTTAAATATTTATAACTTTGCAGTGGAATTTAGGAATCTGCATTGGGCTTGTTCGTATTTCTTTGTAAAATTTATAAAATATCTATCATCGAGAGTAGACCTATTCATGGGCTGGGCTGGGCTTTTGTTCTTTATTAACAGAAATTTTTTAGGCCCAAGCCCGAGCCCAGCTCGACCAACGGGCCTACAAGTTGGGCCCAAGCCCAACCCTCATAAAAAGTCCGAAGCTCGACCTAGGAGTCTAAGCACCGATGCTTGAGTTCGCAGATTGAGAGAATGGTGTTTGAGTTGAGTTCGCTGATTCCTGGGAGTCTGAGAGTGAGAATGGACATTGAGAAGTGAGAAGATAGAATATGAAAACAGTATCGACTAGAGAGAGAGAGAGCTCACCGCCGGAGATAGAGATGACCTAGTTTTGGTGGCACTAGCCGCCGGTGCCTGAGTTCGCAAAGTGAAAACGGTGCGCCTGGGTTCGCCGATTTTGAGAGTGAGAAACTGAGAATGAGAAGATAGAAGATGAAAACTGTGCCGGTTGGAGAGAGAGATAGAGAGAGAGACGACCTAGTTCTGGTGGCGCTGGCCGCTAGTGCCTAAGTTCACAGAGTGAAAACGGTGCACCTGGGTTCGCCGGTTCTGAGAGTCTGATAGTGAGAAATGAGAACCGATTCTGAGAGTATGAGAGTGAAAAATGAGAATGAAAAAAAAAAAGTGAGAAGAATTTAGGATTAGGGTTAGGCGATTTAAGAATTTAGGGTTTAAATTATACAAAAGTCGGGTCAAAATTTTTTAACAAATCCCAAACCCGGCCCGTAAAATAATGAGGCTCAGGCTTTTAGATTCAAGGTCAAGCCCATGGGCTAAAATGCATGTTCAAGCCCCGAGGGCCGGGCTGGGCCATGAACATGTCTAAATTCGAGAGGTTGATCTGAAAATGTTATGTTGTATTCTCAAAACTACAATGTCAACGGATTGGATCCAGTGCGGGTTGTTTTCGACCCGACAGCCAAAGTGGGTCCCATTATGCTGGCTGTTTCATTGCACTGTAAAGGCCCCTTGGTCTTGCCTTTTCTACGCCACTACGTGAGATAATTGGAGAAAAGTGTACTCACCGGATGTGGCAACTGGCTAGGGTTGATCGGCGACTGATAGAAGTAGATCTGTAAATGGATCACATCCAAATCCAGTCCTGTTAATAAAAACAGAAACTATCCAAAATCCGAACAGATTTAAAAATATCGAATAGGATTTGGAATAGACGTTTGTACCAATTTTTAAGGGCGTTAATGGGCCGATATTGGTCCAATCTGATCCGGTCCAACATGAGTCTATTATAGAACCAGTTATAAATGGGTTATTATAAAATATATTTTATATTTTATAATATATACTAGTAAATAATAATAATAATAATAATAATAATTTTAATATCCTTATTAGAACCCATTAAAAAATATGAGTAATCAAACCATGGTGTTCTGGTGGATTTAAATTTGTTTTTCATTTTAGTTGTTAATAAAAAATACTTTTTATTTATAATATTTATTTTTGTCAATATGATAAATGTATAATATTAGGGATGTGCACAAATTTTATAGACACAATTTTGTGTTTTCTATAATATTTTTTTCTATTTATTTTTGAGTTTTTATTATATAATTATGACATCATGTGTTAACCAATTTGACTTGAAAGAAAAACGGATCTCATTTTTGGGCATCTTTAAAATTTTTATTATATTTCCATAATTAATTCTAAAAATAATTTTTGTTTATCACACTTATCTTTGTTTTATATGATTAATTTGTAATATCTTAGATATGCCAAAATTTTCTATAATTAATTAAAATGTTCCATCATTAATAAAAACACTTCTGATTTATCATACTTATTGTTATTTAATATGATAAATATATAATACTAGAGATGTGCCTAAAATTTTTATAATATTTATATTTTTATTATTAAACTGAGATCATTGGTTAACCCATTTGATATAGATGGTTGAAATACTCACCCACCACCTAGGCAAATGGGTTGTTTATTTTTCATTTTAGCTTTGAACACAAGTTTTAAATTATTAAAAATATTGAATATAAATTTAATTTATAAAATTTATTGGTAAGAAACAATAAGCAGGGATACTTTACTCAAGAAAAGTCTACAAAGGATATAGATTTAATTAGTAGAATTTATTATGTTTTAAATTAGATTTCCAGCCCACATAGTTAGAGAGAGGGAATAAAATTAGTTGTGGTCAAGAAAATTCCACAAGGTTTGTTTATTTAGTGTACCTTAAATATACGATTTAAGGGGAGGGAATAAAATTAATAGTTCAAGTTATATTTTGTACCCTCATAATAAAGAAAGATCAAATTCAAAAAGTAAGATTTTTTAGTAAAAAAATTCAGAATCTAGACCTTATTCACACTTTTAATAATAGTATGGTTTTTTTAATTTTAATAATAACAATAATAATATCAGAGATGTGTCTACTTTCTTTCAAATTTCTTCTATAATTTTTTATATTTCTATGTAATTTGAAATTTTATTATTTAATTATGACATTTATTTTTGTATAATATGATAAATGTATAATACCATTGATGTCTCCTAATTTTTCTATAAACTTTTTATTCTTTTTTCTATAGATTTTAGTATTTCTATCCATTTTTAATTTTTTATTATTTAATTGTTACATCATGGGTTAATCGAGACTATTGAACTCTTAAACCATTCCCTAAGGCCATGTTTGTTTGAAGTGAAAAATCCGGGGTAAATTTTACACCCCAGTTTAATTTTACATACGTTTGGATGAGATGTTATTTTACATCTTAGGTGAGTGTAGAATTCCATTTTAGGTAAATTTTACATCGAAAATTGTTAAAAAGTTACCTACCACTGCAACTTTCATCTTATCAAAACTCAATGGACTCTCTCTCTCTCTCTCCTTGTTCTTCTTCCTCTCCGGTTTCACTCTCGTATGTTAGTACCTACCACTGCAACTTCCAGAAGTAGCAGTTCTCCCCCTTCTCCCCTTCTCTGATCAATCTTCAACTTCCGTTGAAGACTCCACCATCGGTGCAGCAAATCTCTATCGAATTCTTCTTCCTTCTTCTTTTGATAATCCTTCTTCTCTTCTTACTTCTGTTTTCTGCGTTTCTGATACTCCTGAAGGTAGTCTATTCTGCTAGCTATTTGGCTCCTTTTGGGTTTGTTTCATTTTTCTTTGCTTACCTCTCTGGTCTGACACATCTGCCCGCTTTGAGAAAATGTTCTCTTGCAAGCGTTCCATCTAAAATTATTCTTGTCTATCCAATCTCTATAAATTAATCGGTGGATATCGGTATTTCTCACTTGTCTTTTCTCTTGAAAATCTACTCGGAAGTCCGAGAAAATCTCTACTACTGTGTTTGCCTAGAAATCCTAAGCGTTCAATAAAGATTAAAGAAAAGGAAGAAAACAACAACTGGTTGCAATTCTAACAGGTTAGGGGATTCCAGCAGCTTTTTAAGGTGTTAGGTGAGCTCAGTCTAAAATCAGATCTTCTGCACGTTTGTTGTTCTTATATATCGCGCGCTTACATTGAATGTGGGTCTAGTTATTAGCTAGGT